ATTTTAATGCATTCATTTGGTGACATACAGTTTTTTTTTCCTTTTCTAGGAAACAAACCTTTTGCAATCCCCATGATATCCACTAGGAGGCTCTCCTGGTCGTTTTGGTCACAGGGCACTTGTTGCCTTTCTGGGTACAAAGTTTAAAATCACATCTCATGTACTTTTGGTTTCAGCATTAAATATCAAAATTTACCAAGAAAATAAATTAATATGTAAATTTTTTTTTTAAAAAAAGTTAAAAATAATCATTACTGCTGTTATTATTCATAATAAAGAATCAGAACAAAGAAACCCAGTAAAAGGGAGCATTTTGTTTGGTTAATAACTGTATTTAGATGGTTTACAGTAGGTTCTGATACTGGAACAGGCTTTCTGAACAATCATTTGCAGATTATCATTGATATCTGATCAGGAAATATAATTTTTTTTATGGTACACATATACTGCCACATCAGTTGACAATAAACACTATTGTAAATATTATTTGTAATAATCTAAATCCCTTGTCCTGCAGTCAAACAGTAACCCGGTCAATTTAATGTAATATTATTACTCATGATGTGATTGCCTATCTTGGTTTAGTCACTTTCTTCTCCAGAAACCTCCTCCCTCTCCTCCTCCTCCTCCTCCTCCTCCTCATTACGCGCTGACCGGTCAGACTTTCCTCCCCTCTCCTCTCCCCTCCCCTTCTTCCCTCCCTTGGTCTTTTTCTCTGGCTTTTTCCAGGCTTCATGTCATACCACGGCTAATTCCTCAAATTCCTGCCGTCCTCTCGCTTCAAACAGGCGGCTCCAGGAAGGAGACGGGGCAACAGAAAACAAACAAAGGAGAGGCAAAGAAAAACAAACATAAAAAAAGAAGAAACAACTAATTCACTTTTTAATTGAGAGAGAGAGTAATTGAACCACCTGCCTGTCTGTCTAAATGTGTTTGCTGGAGTTGTAACAGAGTTTCAGCAGGTAAGTCAGTTCAAGTGTTTTTGCTCTTTACTTTTTCTGTGCGTCTTTTTCTGTTCTTGGGTCGCGTAAAGTTTTCAGCGTCACTTTTGCTTCAATAAATAAATTCCCATTCACCGGCGGACATAACATACCTGAAATATCTCACATTTCTCAGCAAGAATTCCTGCATTTTTTGTTCCTCCTGCCTTTAATTGCAGCTGTGGCTCTGACTTCCTGCGCCTCAGCCGGGATCAGGCTGCCATCCGTGCGCCTGACCCGGGGGGAAAGTTTTCCTCTGCAGCCTGATGCACCGCCTATTTACTAACTCACAAATTATATAAATATATACTTTTACCCTATTTCCTGTTGCAGCAAAAACTGACTGCAGGTTTCTGGATATTAGGGCCGATTTGCTCCAAATTTTAAAGGATTCATTTTTTTCTCCCATTACATCATAAACCAATTAAGATGGGATTGAAAGTGAAATAACAAATTAAAAAAATATGTTTTATTATAATAAAAAAAGAGGCATTTTTCTTGTGATTTACGTCCTATAAAAAAAAAATATATATATATATATATAGAAATTTACCTGCAGCTTGTAGACCATGGAGAAAGCTCCTAAACAGGCTATGTAACTGTAATTTTATTTTGAAGTAAATAGGATAAAAACAGGTTTACCTGCTAAGGTTTAACTAACCCTATTTTATTTTGGCCCTTCATCATTTTTCCACCTCTCACTTACAAATGATGCAAAACCTCTCCGTCCTTCATCATTTACTGCAAAGTTTAAAACATTATAGGCTAATCATTATTATAGTGTGTCTTTGCCTGGTGGTAAGGATCATTGTCTCACTGTAAAGCAGGGCTGAGGTTAATCAACCCAGTCGACCTTAGTAATAAGCAAACTAGGCTGCTGCTCAGGACACTCAGGCTATCCCAGGTTTATGTCCCTATTTTAGACCAGCTTATTACTATTTTATCCTGTCTCCTTATGTATCCCTTTACTTTATCCATGAAATGTTAATGTAGTTTTGATTAATTGTTAATATTTATAAAATGCTATATTTTTAGTTATAATTTTTATTTTTTATTTTATTGCCAAAAACACATATTTTATGCTTTTTTTATGGAATTGACTTTTGATGATGCTGGAATAGACTCTATCATATGAAATATGGGGAAAAT